GAGTTTATACACTCTGACTGTAGAGTTTATATACTCTGACTGTAGAGTTTATACACTCTGACTGTAGAGTTTATATACTCTGACTGTAGAGTTTATACACTCTGACTGTAGAGTTTATATACTCTGACTGTAGAGTTTATACACTCTGACTGTAGAGTTTATATATTCTAACTGTAGAGTTTATACACTCTGACTGTAGAGTTTATATACTCTGACTGTAGAGTTAATATACTCTGACTGTAGAGTTTATATACTCTGACTGTAGAGTTAATATACTCTGACTGTAGAGGTTATACACTCTGACTGTAGAGTTTATATACTCTGACTGTAGAGTTTATACACTTTGACTGTAGAGTTAATACACTCTGACTGTAGAGTTTATACACTCTGACTGTAGAGTTTATACACTCTGACTGTAGAGTTTATATACTCTGACTGTAGAGTTTATATACTCTGACTGTAGAGTTAATATAGTCTGAGTGTTTTTGTTCTATTACCATCCATTCATTCAGGTGTGTGTGTGTCAGCTCCTGCCCACATCCATAATCATTCTGATGATGCCTAAACAAGGAATGAATGAATGAATGACTTTATTTTGAACCAAAACAACACAACAATAAGAGTTTCTGAAAAGGAGTAGGTTGAAGTACAACCTATATGTCCCACCCCTTTCTTACGTTTTTTCTTTTAACACATAAATTATTTCAACAAATTCCCAAATTTATTTACAATTAATATAAAATTATCCCTCCTTTATTTACCACCCAATTGATAAATAAGTAAAACACCCAGTTTATTTACACTAGATCGAGTCCTCTCTACCCCAGAAGTTGTGTGTTGGGTTGCACAGGAACTGCGAGATTCCAATAATCCCAACGCGTCCTCCAACAGGAACACTGTCACTGTCACATAAAACATGGGGTCATATTCACAAAGCTTCCTCGTGCTAAGAGTCGCTCCTAGTGACGAAATTCTAAGAAAGTTCTTAAAACTGTGACGTTTTCTTAGAAATTCCTCTTAAAGTTAAGACTTAAAGTTAAGACGAGGTCCTTGTAAAGATAAAAGTTATTCACAGAGCGTCTCAGACCTGATAAGAGGAGACAAAGTGTTGGGAGCAGGAGAAGGAGTTTAAGCGTTTCTGAATCAGAGGAGAAAATGGTGGAAACACAGAGAGGTCAGAGAAACGGTCTCTAAACACAAAATGACAGTGAGTCAATGAAACGCTACAGATGAGATGGTGCAGGGAAGATATGTGTGGTTGATGTCATACACACACATTTCACACCTAACACTATAACGTCAAAATGATGACATCATCACTGAGGTATGTGAGCAGCAGTGATGAGTTGAGTCTGTCTCAACCTTCATCAGCAGTGAATACACTTATATACACTTAATACACATACTCTGCAGTTCATCTCATGTCCACTGGGTGTCCTCACACCTTACAGGCTCACAGAGGGGCGTGTCTCTGACAACCAATCACACCTAGCAACAGAGTCAACCACACCTCCTCAATGAGGTCACAGTTTCTGTCTCTTCATCACTCAGAGTCATTTAGAGAACTTTCCTTACTGACAGTGTCAGTCTGAGTTCAGAGCTCTGTGAGAGAGATCTCAGGATGTTTGTATCTGTAGGACAGGTTTGATCAGAGTGCATCAGAGGAAGAAGCTGGAGATACGAGGGTTTCATCCAGACATGTTTGTCTGTCTGATGAAGTCAGATATTCTGTGTTTGAATCACAGTCGGCTCAGTGAGAACAGACTGTTGAGACGTGATGAAACATGCTGCAGGAACACAGAGAGGATTTTATTTCAGGCGTCTTCTTGTTCAAGTTTTAAGTTTAAGTTTATTCACTTTATTAATCCCCCTGAGGGGAAATTCAATGTTTTCACTCTTGCTTGTCAATTACACACAGGTCTGAACGACACACACATGCACAAACAGGACCTATACATGCACAAAGTGGAGAGATGTCAGAGTGAGGGGGCTGCCCTTGGTGAGGCGCCCCGAGCAGTTGGGGGGTTCGGTGCCTTGCTCAAGGGCACCTCGGCAGTGCCCAGGAGGTGAACTGGCACCTCTCCAGCCACCAGTCCACGCTCCATATTTTGGTCCGGACGGGGACTCGAACAGGCGACCCTCTGGTTCCCAACCCAAGTCCCTATGGACTGAGCTACTGCCGCTGATCATCAGCTGATCTGTGTCTGTCGTCACATCACAGTGAAAATGACGCTGATTTACACTCTGCAGAAATCCTCTCATTTGTGAAGCTGTAAACACGAGAGGTCGTTACTGGAGAGGTGACGATTAGCAGCTGATTCACTTCAGAGACCTGAAGTCAGTTCCTGTTTCTTCTTCTTCAGTTCCTCATCATCATGAGTCAGGTGTCTGATAACTGCCTGTCTGTCTGTCTGTCTGTCTGCCTGTCTGTCTGTCTGTCTGTCTGTGTGCCTGTCTGTCTGTCTGTCTGTCTGTCTGTCTGTGTGCCTGTCTGCCTGTCTGTGTGTCTGTCTGTGTGCCTGTCTGCCTGTCTGTCTGTCTGTCTGCCTGTCTGTGTGCCTGTCTGTCTGCCTGTCTGTCTGTCTGCCTGTCTGTCTGTCTGTCTGTCTGTGTGTCTGTCTGCCTGCCTGTCTGTCTGTCTGTCTGTCCGTCTGTCTGTGTGTCTGCCTGTCTGCCTGTCTGTCTGCCTGTCTGTCTGTCCGTCTGTCTGTGTGTCTGTCTGTCTGCCTGTCTGTCTGTCTGTCTGCCTGTCTGTCGGCCTGTCTGTCTGTCTGCCTGTCTGTCTGTCTGCCTGCCTGCCTGTCTGTCTGTCTGTCTGTCTGTCTGTCTGTCTGCCTGTCTGTCTGTCTGCCTGTCTGTCTGCCTGTCTGTGTGTCTGTCTGTCTGCCTGTCTGTCTGCCT